CATTTGTCCCAAATTGTTATTTGATAAATGTTTGTATTGGTTTACATGCAAATTAACCATTGGGGAAAGTTTTATTTTAAAGTTTCTCTCAACACAAAAGTGTTTATTTATTGCTTTGCTTACGTGGTGTCTAATTGATAAGCTTAAGTTATTCATAAGAATTTGGGGTGTTTTTAGGCTTAATTGTTGAGATTCTATGGTTAATTTGGGTATTTATGAGTCAATTTAATGCATTTGGATGTTTTGTCACTTTTCAGTTAACTAACCGTCAAAGATGAAAGTTCTTGGCCAATTTGGGACAAGCTGATAAGCATCAGGGACTAAAGTGCAAAGCTCCACACCCAACTGCAGCCCAACCGAAACCTTATGGCCAAACAACAGTTCGGCCCATCAAGGAGAACAACCCAACTGCAGTTCGACCCACTAAGAACAACAGCCCAGTCCGCAGCCTAGGGGAGGCTCCAAAGGCGACTAGCTTTAGAGAAGGAAGGAAGGCTGAAGAGAAAAGGTATAAAAAGAAAAGAAAAAGAAAGAATTAGGGTTCAGACCATTGAAGAAAAAAAAACAGGAAAGAAGAGAGGAGGAGAAGATCTTTTGGACGAAGCACACTCAATTCGAAGAGAAGAAAAAAAAAAGGAAAACATAAGAAAACAAGGGCGGAGACAAGATTGAAGATTCTTGAGCTAAGATTGAGAGATCGGTTGCAAGATACTTTCTTTTTCTCTTGTAACATCATGTTTACTCTTGATATTGGGATGTTGTTTGTTCTTAATTACATCATGAGGGGCTAAGTTTCTATTGTTAGGGATTAATACTTGATCATGCATTGATTTTCATTCATTAATAAAATCGATGAGATTCTTGTTATATTGTGTTATTTGTGCTTATTACTTATCATTAATTGATCACCAATGGTTCGTTCTTTAATCAAGATTATTCATTGAGAGATGATGATTGAGGTGGAACTAATAACCCTTATTCGACCAATAATTAGGTAAAGATATCATTTGTTGGTAGGATTTCCTTGTAGGTGTATTAACAACTTGTGTTTATTTAAAGAGGATTTCGATTGAAAGAATAAGAATTCATTGATTGTAATTCCATTTAATTGAACATAGGTTTACCTAATCGACTCTTGAGAAAGATCGACTAGTGCTTTTAGGAAACACCTTGGAATATAACAACCCTCGTGAGATTTTATTGATATTGAATCTTGATGATCGTGATAGAATTAATCCCTAGCAACTTTGTTATTGATTTTGTTCAAATTATTGGTTTTTGTCATTTAATTTCCTTAATCAGTAGCGCTAGTTTAAATTCCTTAAATCGCAAGCCCAAATTGATTATTGCTTTAAACAAGTTGAGAAGAAATTAATAGGTGACTAAATAATTCATTCATCGTGGGAACGATTCTGTATTCCTTACTATATTACTTGCATGACTCCGTACTCTTGAGAATAGCGGTCACTAATGGCGTCTAACCGCTGTCAAAATATATACTAAAAAAATGTTTATCAACTACTCTTTCTTAGTTTTAAAAACAAATCAAATACAAACGTTTATTTAATAAATGAAAACCAAACCAAACATCCCCTTAATCATTCGATGGGTAATATTTTTTCTGTTTTGTAAAAGTCAATTGATGTAAAATTTGTCCATGTAAAGTTATAATTGAAATAGTTGAAGACTTGGCGGTCGGATTTAAAACCTAGAGTTTAAATTAATTAATTTCGGAAATTCATGTAATTAATTTTAATTTGAAGCATTGGTATGTAACTGTGATGAAAGGTTGGATATCTGCTACAGTGGCCAACAAAACGCTATCAATACATGATTTATTGTTGGGAGCAGAACTTGTGATGAAATTTTTGTTATCTATATATATATATATATATATTTTTATGCAGATATTATGAGAATTGTACGCGTGCCTACCATAATGTGAAAATTGAAGCTGAAACTTAATGAAGATTCAGGAACTTTAAAACTTTATTTAATTTGATATTTTGAATTTTGAGAGATCACATCTCTGTTCCACAACACATCCCTGCTCTATATTAAGAACATCTCCTGATGATAACATCACCGGTTCTGGTATATCATCGGAAGATGTTTCCAATACATGGTGGGAATGTGCTGTGGGGTGTTGTGGGGCAAAGATGTGAACTCGAATTTTGAAGCCAGAGAGTCACAATTTGGGGGGATGACGATATGTACATGCTCAGGTGGTTCAGCTTGTTCATTTAGGGAGAATGACATCAGCTTAGGGTCAAAATTTTTAGGCCCAAAGTACAATTAGAGAGTTCGGAATTGATGGCAATTCAGGGACAAGCATTGATATAAAGAGTGAGGGTTTTTGACATTTTGAATGTTCATCTTATCTGGTGGTCTGGTGACGACACCTACATGACTCTTGTACTACAGCACTGCCACTATTAAAAACTGAGACTCTGACCCACCTTGAATTTGCATTGTTCTAAATCTTAGAAAGCATCCTGTAGTGTTTAGAAAAGCATTCAATAACTTATAAAGCAGCTCCGCTTTGTGTGTTCCATCATCTATATATATATATATAAACCCATTATAGATAAACTTAGAGAATATGTGATGAATTAATGTCATATGTTGATATGTAGAAACGAAACAAAAATGTTTTAAACAAACCGAAAAAATAAAATAGACCCTGGTGTGCCTTTTCTCTTCAACTCGTCCAAATCGCAGAATTCTTTGTTTGTTAATTCCTCTCCTTTGGGTACTTGAGAGTACAAAAACTATATATATGCATGGTCCATATAAGACATGGCATGGGCTTCTGTTGTCGTGCCTCGATCAACTTTGCCACATTGGCAATTCAATAGCATGCAAAGGACGGAAACTCTCCATTCCAATTTAATTTCTTTCTACCTGCTCACGAGGGGCAGGGCTAGTAGTAGTGGCTGAAAGCTCCATTCATGATACCGTAAGTGAAATGTGAGTGTTGGGGTTCAGGGGTAAAGTTGCGGTCCCCCAACCATTACTTCTCCATTGCTTAAGTGGGTTGGTGGAGAATGTCAAGAAAGGCCCATAATTACTAATTACTTTCTATTTTTGGCGTTTACTATTGTTATAACTTATAACAATTCCTTCATGTTTGTGAAGTGTGATGCCCTCGCAACCACTAGCAATGCCGCAGCCAAGAATGCGAGCATTTCAATGCTTCAAATAAGCATTGACACATTACTTGGGTTTGATCCTTTGGAGAGTCAGCCGCATTAAGTTGTGTTTGGGTTGAGGCCACATATAACCTATCCAAACTCACCAAAACAAGTCCATCTTTAACAATAACAATAGTAACTCTTTCTTCAAACCTCATTACATTTTAAATATTTTATTACTTACGTTTTTCTCTTTACTCTTCCAACCAAAAGCCCAAAACCAATAAATTTGATTAGGTTTAACTGGGGCCTATATTTCATTTTTTTTTTTGTGTAAAACATAAAAACCTCCCCTAAAGTTTCTTACAACCATAATAGTCCCCCTGTAATTCACAAAAAAAAACTTGCACTTACCTCCCTTTCATCATTGTCCCCATAAGGGAGACTTCAAACTTATAAAATTACCCTTACATCTTTTAATATATTTAAAATGGCAGATTAGTCCTTCTAGACTTCACTAGATCTAACATTTTATCGAATAAAATTATTTTATTCTTTTCAATATGATTCTAAGATTTTTTTAATTAAAAATGAAAAGTTATTTTAGGTGTACTTTTAGTAAATTTTCATCTAAAATTGATAGGTATAAGGCTAAAATGGATACTTTTGAAAAACTTATGCATTGGACCAACATTTTCGGAAGTAACTGCAGGTTTTTGTGAAATATAAAACCTCAGGAGGCCCTGAGGTTTTTATGATTGTCAGAAACTTCCAGGAATACTTTTATATTTTACCATTCTTTTTTTGCTTTATGGGGCTGGCCTTTCACTAAAGCCCTAATTCCAAGTCACCGCTACAGCCAACTAGAGCCTTTACCGAGTCAGTTGGCACCTTCAACCATGACCCAGTCGTGTTAAGGTTTAAATTGTGGATGGCACTGCAAAAGGCGACATTGTAAGCTTGAACAGCTTGAGCTGTGTTTTAGAGCCAACTCAGATCCTACCCACATGGTTTCTGGGCCCAAGCCCGACGTACTGGTCAACTCAGGCCTAGCCCAAGCTCAAATGGTTTCTGGGCTGGGTAGTTTAAACTGTATAGATGTTTTTACAATCTTAAGTCTTAACTACTTTTCAAATCGGATCCTACACTATCTGATCGAGTTTCATTATCAAATTCATATTTAAGATTTTACGTATAAAAAAAATCAGATTTAAGATTTATAATAATCAGGCTGGATTTGGATATGGTTAAGTCTAATACGAAATCCAATTACAGCCCTACCTAGGTTAAACCCAAAAAAGAAAAAAAGAGAAAGAGAAACAGTTAAAGGATTCAACTGAGGTTGGCCCGAGTTAGCTTTTCAAACTGTTTTGTGCTCAGGCCATTGGGCCGGGCTCATTCAAATTTTGCCAAAAGACCAATCCGAGCCCGCCCAACATACACTAGTTTATATGAAACGAAAAAAATAGGGTATTCTACTTATCATAAAAAAAAGAAAAAAAATAGGATATTATTATAAATGGTTTATGTATCAAGAATTCATTTTGTTTTATTTCTTTTAAAAGACTATACAACGGAAATAGCCCATCCCCCAATGCATAACCCCAACCTAGGTGCAGGCGGGATTCAATCTGACAATTCCAATCTCATGATAGAGTTGGATAAGGGTTACAAACCTCGGATTCAAGAACGTATTGGGTTTAGGGTCAGCCGGTCAGGGTTGGGTTTTTAGAACATTAGATTGGGCTAGGGTTGGTCAGAGTTGGGTTTTAAGCACATTGGATTGGGCTAGCGTTGATCCAACTCGGCCCAAGTTACACCAAGCCACCAACGAATTTTCCCACTATTAACCATGGACAATTATGTAATTCTGGAACGAACACAAGATGCTAGGTTTGTTGGGCGCGCGAAGGTGGCATTACAAGAGGGAACTCCGTTGCCGTCGAAGGTCGGATACTCGGAAGCTCCCGGTGAAGTTCCAAAAGAGCGGTTTCCTGTAAGTTAATTATCTTTCTTTGTTTTTTTTCATTTTTAAAAAACTTTCTGCTTATTTTGTTCGGTATTCATTGCTTGCTTTCTTGCTTCTCTACCATTATGTAATTCTGAAATGTTAGAAATTCTTTTTTTTTTTTTTTTTGCTGTTGGTAGTAATGAACTAATGAAAACGAAGTATGAAATGAAGTACATGTATAAAGGACTCGTAATTGTCTGCATAAGAATCTTCTTATAGGTATTCTATAATGGACTTTTCGTTCAAGTCACTTTTCTGTTCTCAGAGTCTTATTTCGTTTGGGAATAGTAGGAACCGGTTGTAATTTATGGTTATAGATCTTTATTCTCAAAATACAATCCTACATTTATATATCTCATGGCTTCTCTACTGTGAATATACCAATCCGGCAATCCCATTAATTATGGTCGACGAGTTTATCCTTGAAGAGATATACTGATGGTCTTTTTCATTTGCATTATTTTGATGTAAAACTGTTTCGTTTGGGACAAATTTGGGCAGTGGTAGCTAATGTTTTCCCCCTTACCTCCTTGAATTTTAGATTAAAAACAAAAGCTAAGGAGTTCATTTCTTTCTATTTGGTGTAAATCTGTCATTTTCCTGGACCTTCGAGAGACCTATGGTGCGCTTCAAACTATTAAAAAAATATGGTTAAACATGTTATTCAAACCTTTGGAAGTTCTGATTTCTTTCTTTGAGCCTGTAGGGAGGTCATATCCAAAAATTCCTTGTTCAGTACATTTGAACTATTGTACTATCCACCCGTTTCCATATATGTGATTGATGATACTTAGTCATAGTGATCCACTTGATCAACATTAGTACCTGCTGGTTTTGTTATATAAATAAAAGTATGGTCAAATCCAATGAGCAGGACCTAGAGGTAGGAGATTACATTTTGACACATACCTCTTGGAAGCATAACTTTTACCTGGATGACTGGGATGCTCTTGGGCGTTATCTCAAAAAATGGGATTAATCATGGTTCGGTTTTAGTTGCTAAGGTTTTTTTTTTTGTGCCTTTTATTATAAATAGGAAATATGTTAATTTAATTAGAGAAACTTTCCATTAGCAATAACCTAGTTGGCTTTTACATTTAGGCTGATTCATATTTGATGTCAAAACAAGGGTTTTCCCTAAAAGGTGCTGATATATAGCTGATGTATGTTAGAGCGAATACTTTTCTACTTTTTTGTATTTAACAAATGGAGCCTTAGAAAGGTATTATTTTCTCAAGATTTCCCCATTAGCTGGAACTGATGGATCAAAGTATAAGTTGTGTGGCTTGAAGCAACAAAAACATTGATCCTGACCTTTCGTATTCACATTCCTTTCTCTTCTATCTTAAGTATGCGCTTATTAGTATTGGAGTATATTTATTGCATCAGAGGTGACAAATTTTCCAAATTTTTTCTTGTCTGGTACAAGATATGCTGGACTGGGTCTAGGTGTGGCGGTAACTAGTTGCTCTAATTGATTGTAAGATTGTACTCACTTATTCAGTTGACTATGAATTTCTTGAGGGCAGCTGCTATGTAAAATTTTCAAGTTGGGTACCTGAATTGCACCCCTAGTCTGACTCTGACCTGATAAGACCCAATTATAATTGATGATAATTTGGCTTGATAATTTGACAATAACAGGCATTTATTCATTTAAAGCAAGAAAATCTTCAAATCTTAGTATCTTACAAGATAAAATATAAAAAATTATTAAAGAAAATGATAGTACAAAAAAGAGCATTGAAAAACAACTACTTAAAAATTACAATGCACTTAGAGAACAATCCCAAGGGAAAGTTGTGTGGAGTGTAATTCTGGCAGCCAATTTCTGGGTCATGTAGCAAGAAAGAAATGGAAGAATTTTCTGCAATCAACAGTGTTCAGATGATACAGCGTTTCAAAAAGGGCAGCCCAGTGCATGAGGCTCCCGCCAATGCAGGATTTGCAAAGAAAAGAAATGGAAGAATCTTCTGCAATAAAAAGTGTTTGAAAAAGTTGTTGGAAAATTGCTTTCATGGATAAGTATTTAAAGATACTTTAAATAAAGAAATTATAGGACTTTTTGCTCTTAAAACTCTTTTTGTAAACAATCAAGGGATAGTGACTTTGTAAGTCTTTTTGGGGAAGGGTTTTTTCCCCCTTGTACGTCCCCTTGTTGTACAGGGATTTTCGTAGTAATGAGCTATCTATACATTATCTCATGTGCAGTTTCTTTCATCTTAATGAATTTATACTTTACCTTTTTCAAAAAAAAAAATAAAAATCCCAAACCCATCATTCAACACAACTAAGAAACAATGACAAAAGAAAGCAAGAAGAATCTCAACATCTCCATCTATTTTGATCACTCCCCGTACTTGAAGTAAAATAATTTCCTCTGTCAGCTCCTTTTGCTTATAACTAGGGAAAAAAATTCTGACATCCCCTCCCTAGCTTTGCAATAATAATCCTAATGGGTAAGCATTTGAAGAAGCAGAAATAGACCCTCCTCAACTTGATAGTATGTCAGTATATGGTTTCATGGATTGAAATTACTTTCTCATTAATCCTTAAAGGCACAAACTTGTGAGAAGAGATACAAAGAAGCCATCCATAACACAAAATCCTTCTTGTACACAAACACTGAATCTATTAATTTGTTTCCTAGGATACTTCCCCAATAAAAATAAGGTATGGTTAATGTAAAAATAGGAGCAAGAGAAAAAGCAACATATAAAGTGAAAAAGAACAAGAAAAACTAACAAAAAGATAGGCATAATAAACAAAATGGAGCACTCCCCATTGACCAAATAATATGCATCATATGTAACTACATGAAAACAAAATCCACCTGTATTTCAATAATCTCAAGATGAGATAAGTTTCAATTTTTCTACCACTTGATGACTTAATCCGTTTTTGAACTACTCAACAGTCTGCTTTTCTTTCTCACAATGAAGTTCTCTATCCATCCTATTCTTAGAAAAAATCCCACTGAAACATCACAAATTCTATCTTGACCTTAATGTAATGATTATAATAACAAAAACACCTTTTGTACCGATACTTGAAGTGAGAAAATGCTGAACCTAAATGTAATGTTCAATGAGCTGATTATTGAACCAAGATTGTGAAATGTTGTGTGAAAAGTGCTGAGGTGTTGAACTTCCAGTAAGCCTGCTATTGCCTAATATGATTGAGGAGGGAGAGTCTGACCAATTAGCATTTGCCTCTCTTTCTCATGTTTCTTGTATATTCATCTTAAATTGACAACTTTGGACATCTTAGTGTAATATCATTACAGATAAACAATGAGAGTATATATGTATGAAGATAAATTTGGTTTGGGTCTTAATTGGGTTGAAACAGGCAAAATCAACCCAACCCTGTTTTTAGTTTGGCTAAACAAGGGGTACAAAGACAGTCTTATGTTTTGGGCCTATATGTAATATTTGGGGGTTTGGACATCTGGTGTCCTCTTTGTTTCCTTCATAACTTCTGATTGTACTGCTTTATTTAATTTTAATGAAATCAATTTTCTGAGTTGTTGATAAAAAAATCCAAACCTGTTTTAATAGGGATAGAAAATACAGACACAGACCTTATGTAAGGTAGTTCGGATTAGCTGAATGTGATGGCTGTGTAGTGAGCTGCGGAACCAATGATAACACCCCCATACCAGTCATAAAATGCTTGGGGCCCACACTGAGTGGTTGAATGGTTGTGGGCCCCATGTATTTTATGACTGGTTTATGACTGGTGTGGGGTGTTATCAGTGGTTCCACAGCCTGCTGAACATTGAACAGATATTGTGTTAGCTAATCTTATCTCATGTAATAGGGCCAGTTTGGTTTGTGTCTGTTGAGTTGACCCAACCCATTGACAGTCCTAGTTATCCTCTAGGTCCCATGGCCCTTGGTCCTTTAGACGTATGTTAACAGAAGCTTAAGCTCTTGGAATCCAAGATGAACTGCCTGTTCATTTGGATCCCTAGATCTGCCAACAGTCATTGAAGTTCTATAGTCTATATCTAGGGTAGAGGTGATACAAAGGGCTTATTTGAGGGACCCAAGCCCAGGGGTGAACTTATAACTTTGTACTGATTTCTACTTGGATACAATGTAAGTCTTAGGCTGTTCTTGTTTTAGCTCCATTGTTTCCAAGCCCTTCTGAATGGTTTTGGTCTTTCACATTTCTCGCATTAATATAAGCTGATTAGTGTTGCTGATATGAAAAAAAAATTCAATGACATGTCCTGCTAAAACTTGGATGCAGAACCCTCTTTAGGATAAAGGTATCAATTTGGGAGACCTGTCCTCAAGAATTATAAGTTAGATATACCAAAATAAATAGGTTATCAAGTTGGATTGTGAGCATCTTCTAATCAAGGTTTAAAATGTTGGTGTCGGTTGTACTTGTCCAAATATGAGATTCAAGCTGATTAGCCTTCTGCATAGCTTCTATAAAATCCTAGCTAAAGTGCTTGCTAAGAGATTAAAAGGAGTCCTTGGTAGTGTTATCTCAAACAACCAAAGTGCTTTTATTCTGGGTGGGCAGATGCTGGATTTTGTTCTTATTGCTAATGAGCTCATTCATTCAAGGAAAAAAGAAAGTTCCCTAGGTTTGATCTGTAAACTTGACATTGAGAAGGCCTATGATTATGTTAACTGGAGATGTGTGGACCTTGTGCTTCATCAGATGAATTTTGGGCAGAAATGGAAGAATTGGATTAAAGTCTGTATCTCTTATCCAAAGTTCTCAGTCTTGGTTAATGGGTAGTCTGCAGTTGTCTTTGATAGTTCTAGGGGCCTCAGGTAGGGAGACCCTTTATCTCCTCTTCTTTTTATATGTGTAATGGAGATCCTTACATTGTTTTGTAAGAGGGCTGCAGTCTTAGGAGAGTGGGATGGTTTTGCAATGGTGCCGGGGGGAGAGAAGGTGAATATTCTTCAATTTTCATATGATACTTTGTGTTTTGTGGATGCCTCCCCCTCTTAGGTGGAGCTAATCCTTGGGATTCTGTCTTGGTTTGAAGTGATTACAGGTCTAAAAGGAAATTGGAACAAGAGCCAAATTATCCCAATTGGCCATGTGTCTAATTTAGTTGAGTGTGCTAGTATTTTGGCTTGTCTGATGGAGTCCCTCCCAGTTAAATATTTGGGACTCCTGCTAGGGGTGAGTGGTGGTTCCTCTACAATTTGGGACCCAGTTATTGAGAGATTGGAAAGGAAATTGGCTTCTTGGAAGGCAAAATACCTCTTTTTTGGGGGGAGGGTGACTCTGATTAAGAGTACTATCTCCAATTTGCCTACCTACTTCTTGTCTCTTTTCTATATACCTAAGAAGGTTGCAAATCAGATTGAAAAGCTTCAAAGGAGTTTTCTTTGGAGAGGCTGGGAGGAGGAGAAAAAAGTGCACTTGGTGAGTTGGGAGCAAGTCTGCCTCCCCAAATCGGAAGGGGGGTTAGGTATAAGGAAGCTGAAAAATTTTAACTCTGCTCTCCTCTGTAAATGGATCTGGGGATTTGTTGTAGAACCTGATGCTTGGTTGAGATCTCTCATTGCCAGTAAATATGGTGTGAGTTGGGGAAATTGGAGAACTAGGGATCCTCCTCCTAATTGGGGTAATTCTCTATGGAAAGGGATAATGAAGACCTATTCAGATTGGGCCAGGGGGTCTCAATTAGGGTGGGTAATGGTAACAGGACCAAATTCTGGAAGGATCCTTGGTGCTCAGATGTTCCTCTTGCTGAGTCCTTCCCATTCCTCTTTCAGTGTGCTTCAGATCAAGAGGCCTCAGTTGCTGAGTGCTACAGTATTTCAGGTGGTTTAGTTCTTTGGATTCCCTCTTTTCAAAGAAATCTTTTTGATTGGGAGGTGGAAGAGGCAGTGAATCTCTTGACCTGTCTTCAAAATCAAGTTATGGATTATAATTTGGAGGATAGGTGGCTTTGGAGGTGGAATTCTGATGGTTTGTTCTCTGTAAAATCCTTGGCTGCTATGCTTGGTAGGAGGGGTGTACCTGATTTCCCAGCTCGGCAAGTGTGGATTCCAATTAGCCTGACAAAAGCCTGCTTCCTAGTTTGGACTATGGCTCTAAATAAATGTCTTTCTAAGGAGAACCTTGTGAGAAGGGGAATCCAGGTTTCAGACTTGGCTTGCAGTTTATGTGGTAGCAGTGCTGAATCCACTGATCATTCGCATCCATTGCCCGTTTTCTGCTCAGTTGTGGAACCATTTCCTCAACATCATGAAGGTTTGCTGGATGATGCTGAGGTCGGTTAAAGAGTTGTTAAACTGCTGGCAGATTAGGGGTTTGAGCAAGAGAAAGAAGACACTCTGGAAGTTGATTCCAAGTGTGGTAATCTGGTGCATCTGAACTGGGAGGAATAGAAGGGTTTTCAATAACAAATTTATAAGTCTGGAGGACCTAACTCAGAAGTTAGTGGGCAAGCTGATTTCTTGGCTGTCTGTGGCTGTAGATTTTAGAAACTGTAATGTGTCAGATGTATTATTTTCTGTTTCTTGATAGTTCATGTATTTTCTATTCAGATCAGCCAGCCTATTCTGGGATTGATCTCAGTCTCTTGTGTGTATCTCTTTCTCAATAAATATTACTTTACCTTTTTCCAAAAAAAATGAGAAACATGTTGGAAATGTTGGAAATATCGTATGGAAATATTGTAAAACTTACAGACATGGTAGAAACATTATAAAATATGCAAAATATAAAATAATATTTTATGAAATGATAAAAGAAGCATAGGTACACCTTTTAAACTATTATATTGTTCCGAATCACTAAACAAAGCTAAGAAACTAAGGTTATAGACAAAAAGACGTTTTGAAATTGCCTTGTAAACCTTAAGATTTAGAGCTTCATGATAAAATGAGTTAACGCAAAATTTAAACACATACAAAATGTAAATGGTTGTAATAAATCAACCAAATATTCTAGTACACAAACAAAAACTAATATTTAATTTTATGCTTGAAATGAATATTCGGCTAGCTCAAAGTGGTAATCATGTAAGCTAGGTGGGTAATAACATTGTTACTCTGCATATCTATCTACAATATTGTCAGCAACTTATGTTATAATGCTATCTCTTGTACTCCACATAGTGGTGGTAGTTTTCACCTGGGAATATGTCGATTCTAGTAAAATTTCACGTCACTACTCATAGAAGTGGAAATGGAAATATGTTGTGGAAACTCTCTTGTACTTCACATAGTGCTGGTAGTGTTCATAGGGGAATATGTCTATTATGGTAAAATTTTGTGTCGCTACCCATGGAAATGGAAATATTAGGGAAATTAGGGACATTTTTAACCATGCTTCTAATATGTTAGCACTAACAAAAAATAATTGCAATGGACCTCAGGTCACAAAAACCGAGTGGTTTTAATAATCTGGTGGTAGGAGTGTATAGTTTTTTTCATTGTTTATCTACCAGAATCATTTTAAGGTGACTCAGGATCCTTGTGCATTTATTCTTCTGGAGATCCTGTTTTATTGTATCATATTAATAGATATTGTATCAAAGTGACTGGAGTTCTCCACGGCAATAATATTACTAGGATGATCCAGGGTTCTTGTGGTGGAAATTTTAAAGATAGTTATCTGAGCAAGTTGTTTTACAAAGATAGTGGATTGATAAATGTAAGAGTTTGTTTCCAGATTGATTGGAATAAATTTTCATGTGAACTGGGATGGTTATACGATGGAATTGCCTGAAAGGGTAGTGGTATTGCTCCTGCCCTAACAAACTCATTTGTGATTGTTTTTTTGTTTCTATGTTTTTTATTTTTCTTATTTTATATTGTACATCTTAGATACTTTCCCTTTTTTCTGGCAAGATTATTTGATATATTTAATAGGATACTATTCTTGCATGCCAGCTATCTGGGATCTTGGGAGTGATAGACTGGATACTATTCTCGCTTGCCAACCCAAAATTTTACCACTACACCAAGTAATCACCCCTCGTAGGATATATTAATAAATGCAAGGAGAGGGTTAGCAGTCGAGATGGGAAATCCATGAAGGTTGGTGGAGATTTAATTGAGTAGAGTGTATATCTTAGCTGCTCTTTCCATCTAGAATGCTTACTCACTTCCTTCATTTATTATCTGGTTAACTTTGAATCGAAAAGACATTTGATGGATTTTGGAGTTTGGCAATTGGAAGGTTTTATTTGCATTAGATTTCTATTATTGTGATAATCAAATCACTATTGCTGGTACGGATAGTACTGCTGATACTGTTGGAATTGTTGGACCTGATGCATCTGGATCTGTATTGTCCGGATGCACTGAACGAGGTCATGGAATTGGGCAGGAGGGACCATAGATGGCTCGGAGAAAGTCGTGCCCGCTGGGGGAAGCGGGATGCTCACTTGCGTAGTGTCCTACGGTACGGATAGTGATGGGACTCCTGACACTGTAAGAGGAATAGTAAACTGGCCAATACATACCGTAGGACCTTGAGGGAAGGTTGATTGCTGATCTTGCCCCCTGGTGACATTCATCTCGATACTTTTTCCGGTGTTGTTGGAAGAGTCCATTGAGACAAATTGAAAAATAAAATTGTAACTAAAGTTGGGATGACCTTTCGATCGTTCCCACAGACGGCACCAATTGATGGTGCATGGTCTAGATACTCCTAGCTGGAAGACAATTCAGACTCCAATTGTGTGGCGAGCTGGATCAATCTGCAAAATAGTGGATCGGAGAACCCAGGGTAGCTAACCCGGCGAGGTCGCTCCGATGCTTAAGTCAGTATTATATTGTGGATGTGAGCTGAATACTTGAGTGCTTGAATGCTAGTGAGTAAAATAATCACGCATACCTTTGCCTTGAGGTTTCATGTCCTTATATAATGGAGTAGTCGTGGGCCTATGGGATCTTCGGGTTGTGCAGATAAGGTTTGTTCTGTTTTTGAATGAGAATAATATGTTGATAAGGTTTATCATTTTACCTCCGATTCAGGCGGAGCTAGGACGAGTCTCATCGTGATCCCGAGAAATTCAGGGTCCGTTTGGGAGGCCTTTGGAGTCGATTATGTGGCATTTCAGCTCTTTAGCTCCGAATTGACACTTCAATTCTTTAGTCCTGAACTGGAATAGGTATCGAGGTGTCTCTACGCCGAGGTGGCTAGATACTCTTGCGAAATGGGTTCATTTGGCTGATTTGTCACCCCTTGAGCAGATCGCGTCTATGTGTCCCCTTCTTATTAGGTCGTGCCAAATCACCCTTCATTACTTTTGTTGATCGCTGAATGTGTAATAGGCTATGTTTGTAGAATGGTTTTTGAATGTGAGAAAAAAAGCAAATGAGGAGCAAGTAGAGCAGAAATTTGTTTCCATGGCTCGTGAAATTGAGAAACTCAGAGCAGAGCACCTGAGCGTGGAGAAGAGAGCAAGGGGTCTACGTAATTTTTTCTTTCACCTTTAATTACTAAAGCCCCAAAAGTTCCTTAAGTCCAGGGTGCTGAAAGCCTTTTCTATTTGTGCAGGTGGTGCAAGCTATGGAATGTTAAAGTAAGCTCTGACCTGGGATACCCAGGTGGTGCTTTTGGTGATACCTACAGTGGAGCATGGGGGGCTTATGATGCACGCGGCCCTACCCGTCGCTGAACTCTTTTATAGTGATGCTGGAGTTTTTAGCCATGATGGTTGGATTCACAACGGGGAATTGATTTTAGTTTTAGCTTTGTTGGTGGGTGAGAACAACAATCTTTCTGGGTGAAGTTTGTCACTTCTATGTTGGGGTCTTCCCCCAAATTTTGTGGCATGCCCTTGTTTTTCTGCCACTCTTCTTTTGGTTTCCTAAGTTCGTCGCCTTCTTTGCAGTCTGCCTGAAAGTCCGTGGAAAGTCTAATTCATGTAGGAGGTGTTTTCCAGTTTGTATGGTATTGTTATTTAAAACAAAAAGAATGTCGCACATTGTTTGACAAATGGGCGGGTTCAATTAGGTATAAGGGTTGAATATAAATCCACTCATATTGACCCATCGATTCACCATGACCTATCATCAATCCTAATTAAAGGGTCATAATCCACCCTAACCCCAATCCACCATGATCCACTCATATTGACCCACTTGATTCATCTATATTGACCACTAACCACCTTCACCCATACTAACCCACCTACCTTTATAAATACAAAAATGGTTGGGATGGCCCGCATATGCAAAATAATAAATTTTGAGAGAATAATCTCTCTCAAGACTGTCATGTGACAAAAATGAGTGAAGTCAGTCTGTATACCCGAAAATGCAAAAAATTGTAAATAAATGCAGAAAATTGAAAAAAAAACAAAAAATTATATAAAAATACAAAAAAAAACAAAAATTACGAAAAATACAATAAAATACTAAAAAATTATAGAAAATTCAGAACTTTTGTAGAAAAATCAGAAAATATGCAAAATAAATACCAGAAAATTGTAGGAAATGCATGAAAAATACCAAAAAATGCAAAACTTATGCAAAAAAGCACAAAAAATTGTAGAAAATGTAGAAAAATACCAACAATTACAAAAAATGCAGAAAATAACAAAACAATTGCAAAAAATGCATCACTTCTATAAAAGCGAAGTGCTTTTGCAAAAGTACTTTTATAAAAGTACTACAAAAGTGCTTTCATAAAATGATAAAAGTACTTTTGTAAAAGTGCTTTTGTAAAAGTTATTTTGCAAAAGTACTTTTATAAAAGTGTTTTCATAAAAGTACTTATATAAAAGTGCTTTTGTTTAAAAGTACTTTTATAAAAGTACTTAAAAGTACTTTTATGTTTTCATAAAAGTGTTTTCATAAAAATACTTTAATAAAAGTGATTTCATGTAAAAGTACTTTCATTAAAGTACCTTTATAAAAGCGGTTTTATGCTTTCATAAAAGTCATTTTCATAAAATTACTTTATAACATTGCTTTTGTATAAGATTGCATGTGAACACGAAAGTTAATAAAATCTATTTTATTTCACCTTTATTCTCAAAATGAAATGTGGCATAGTGGTTTAGAAGTGTAACGAGATGTTGGTACGCTATGAGGCTTGATTTTGAATCCTTACAACTTCCAATTTTTGAGATTTGGCGAGTATAGGTAGAGTTGACTTTGACCCAATCCATCTTGACCCATGCAACCCAACCCATCCTGACCCTAATGGGTACCCTCGACCCAACCCACCCTAACCCTTTTTCCACTAGCCCTAATGGGTTGCTCGACCCATATTGACCCATTGGGGTCAAGATTGCCAGCCCTACTTTTAGATGACCAAAATCATTCATATCCTGTCATACATTGGGTCCGGAATGTGGAGTACATGATACTTAGGCCCCGTCCGCTTTTCAATAATTTATTTACTTAAGTAAACACAGTTATCTGGGTAAGTTTTTCTTAGGAAATACTTATCCGGATAAGTGCATTTACCCATGTTCTTTTATTTCTAATGTAAATAAGGCAGTAGCCATTTTAGCCATAAAAGTCCATTATTAAAAAGGGCATTTTTGTCCTATTCAAGTGTTGGCAATTTTCCCCTAGGTGGGAAAGATATTTATCCACCTAGGAGATGGGCATTATTTACCCAGGTAAGTGATACCTAGAAAAAAGTTTTTTCATGGTCCCCACATAAATCTTAAAAAAGAACATAGAGTTCTTCGTCAATGCGAATCAAAATCCCATTTACCAACTTTACCCTCTCAAAAAGAATGCCACGCCCCTTAAAGGTAATGGCACTGTTGATATGTAAAATAAAAAATCGTAAATTTAAATCTGTCATTCAATTCGGTGGATAGATTGGACAAATCTTTGATTAGGATTACAAAGAATCCCGTTTAAAAGGAAATGAGTATAAGGCCTGATTGATCAACCAAATTTGGAGATCATGGTTGGTTAAATGAATTAAAAGCTTCATGGGCCCACCTCCTTTGCCAAGTGGCACTTGACTATAAATCATTAGAAGGGAAATCCAATCCATTCCCTTAATAAATGAGGATCACAAATTGATCACCGAATCATGATCGGTGGGTCCCATGTCAAATGGCCAAATAAATGGCAAGCATGAAAGTTCAAATTAATTTGAATTTATTGGGTGGACTCTATAAATGCCATTATAAATTGAGTAGAGAACACAAAAGCAACCCCCTTTGGAGCTCCCATTTGGGTCCTCCAATTGGCTTTTCCTTCAACTCCTCATTAGAAACATTTCTTGCAAGAAGAAGAAGAAGAAAAGGGCTTCACCGGATGAGCTAAATTGCTGCAACTTTCAACTCAAGATTTCAAGTCATTAAGCTGTTAATACAAGAAAATTTTCATCAAATCACCACAATTGAAGGATCTCCTTTAGCTGGAGGTTGGTGTTGCGGCTCACGCTCAAATCAACAATTGATTGTGAACAAAAGCTTTGTTCACATACAATTGATCACTGCAAGTTCTTTCTACAACTACAAGTTATCAATCTTTTCGGATCGTGTTTGTGACAAGTTACAAGTACAAGTTCGGGTTGTGTTCATGACAAGAGAATCAGAGGGTTTTCTTTGCAAAAAAAAAAAGAAAAGAGTTTGTATTCTACTTACATCTCTGCAAAAAAAAATAAATTTATTTGAATTTGTCTGCACTAATTTTTGTGCTCCAAATTTAGTGCGAAATTTGTGTCGACAAGCACGACTGGTCTGCGGCCTACAAGCTGAGTTGAGCCATGCTTCTCTCCCTTGAGATACTTTAGGGGTCAGTTCGGCTCAAGCCCATGGCCTGGGCCCGCGTAGGCCTGTGCCATGCCATGTTGTGTTGCGGGCCGAAATGGTTTGTGGGTTGAGCTTTGGGCTAGGCTGGGCTGTGGATTAGGCCAAGCCATACTTTTTAAAAATTAAAAAATAATGAAAATTTTAACATAAATTAAAAAAAGATAAAAATTAAAAAAATATTTTAAAATTTTATTTTATACGAATTTTGATGTATACAATTATATATATAAACAATTGTTTAAAAAAATATTGGGACGTGCTGACCCATGGACTTGAAACCCTAGGTTTGACACGATGGCACGACCCATATGATTGTGCCAGACTCGACATGGCCCATAGTCCGTTGTGTCAAGTTGCCTCAAAATCATGTCGCACAGAATGACCCGTGTATGACTTGGGATATTTGGGGGTTGATCCAATGCGATCTACGGCCCAAACCCATGCAGGCCTGTGTCGTGCCACGGACTGAGTTAAGCCATATTTTTTAAAAATTTTAACATAAATGAAATAATAAATAAAAAATAATAACCCCAAACCTCCTGATACGACCATGCAGTCCGTCGTGCCATGCCACTTGCAGCACAGCCTGATTTACACCACTAATGATACTTGACTTGATGTCTCAAAATTTTTGTCCATTTGTTATTGGGCCATTGAACTAATTATTATAGTGTCTAGCCCATAGACCAAGATAAACCCTATAAATTATCCATTTATTGTAGTGTCTAGCCAATCATTCTCTCCATTTGTTATTTGTCCATTCTGAGCTTAATGGTTTATTGATAGATTTACTACAAGGAAAATCATTTATAATATTTAAAAAATCAATTATTTATAATTTTCAGAATTTTAGTAATGGTCATGACTACTTTTATTTTCGATCATTCTGAAATTAAATAAAAACTAATAATCTGGGGTAGAGGCTCCTATTACATCAGCTAGAGGAAGTAGACATAATCCCGGAGCCCGGACTCCGGCGGGGGTGAGTCAAAAAATTTAAGGGTTCATTTGGTTCGTGGCCAGGATCAGAATTGGAATTGGAATCGGAATTACCAATCCCTGGTGCTTATTTGGTTCAATCAGGAATCAAAATCAGATTCTGAACATTGTTATTTGGTTCAACTATAAGTAGGAATAGGAATCAGCTTAAATTTCCAACTTTGACCCTGTTAAAACAATTTCAATGGTATCGGGGAAGAAACAGAGTAATCCGGAAGAAGAAGAAAAAGAAGAAGAAGAAAGGACCCACTTACAATTATCGATAATTTTAAGAAGGGATTCGATAAAATTGTCAGAGATATTCAAGATCTCGGAGCTTGGATAAACACCCAATCGAGTTTGGGAGAGATTTTAAGCTGGTTTGAGTGAACATTTGACACCACAATGTTCAACAATCTTGCTGTTTAATGACTGGAATGCTCTGTTAACATTGCAAAAAAAATTAAATAAATTAAATTTATGAATAAAACAAGATAACTGAGGAAGAGGCATGTTTAGAAGATTTTCTGTTTATATACATGCTTGGATTTACATTAAAATACAACAAAGAAATAAAATAATATTATTGGATGACCTGTAGAGTGTATGAAGCCGAGAGGAAAGAATAATTTTAGAAGTAGAAGAACCAGAAGCCATACAATTTGAGACTCATTTACTGCATTTAGATTTGATATGTGGAGATAAAAAGAACTCCAAGAGCTAAGCAAAATAGAAACCAAGAGGTTAATAAAAAATTGTAGATAGCAGAAATATCTAGATTGCTGATAGTGGTGAGGTTCAGAGACGGATTGGGGATAGACTCCATAGACATGTCATTGAGATTGATGACCTGAAACTTCTCTTCCTTGATGAATTTCCTTGGTCCGTCGATTTCCTTAAGTCCATTCTCACATAGTGTTTGTACATCATGCTTCTACTTTCTGGTTTCTGATATTTACAGAACTCTAGAAATTGAAGAGATAGGATTGGCAGCGGCAACGGTGGTGGCTGATTTGGAAGAAGAAGAAGAAGAAGAAGAAGAAGAAGGACGAGGAGGACGAGGACGAGGATGAGGAGAGGAGAGGACGAAGGATTGTTGACGACAGTCTTAACTCATCAAAGATGGGGTTGGTTGACGGTTGTCTTACTTCATCGGAGATGGGATCGACGGCACTGCAGCGAATAGTATGGAGGTTGAAGGAGTTGCTTACATACCTTCAAACTTGAATGGA